TATTTGAGTGATTGTGTGAGTTGTAACCCGTTGTATTTCTCCTCCATATAGTGAAATCTTCCCATCCTCTCCCCGTGGACGTAGGTAATTTGTCAAACCACGTAAATTCTCAGTGTTGGTTTGATTTATGTTGTATTTTTGGTGATTGCACTCGTGTTTGGTTTAGTTCTCTTCTCTCATCGCTTGCCGACTCGTTTGGTTTGTGAGAACGCTTCCGCACGGCGCGCAACATAATTAGCCCACATATGGCAAAAGATCCTATGGAAGTCGAGTGGCTATATTGTCTCTCTCCATGGTTACTGGTTCAAACCAAGCCAGTGAATGACCATTAACTCCCTACTGGGCCATTAACTCCCAATTAAGCATGATTTCTCCATAATAGCATAGAAATGTAAAAGACAAATCCTAGAGTGTCGGAGTGGTTATACATTTATATAAGCAGGAAAATTTCTCTCCCAAAGCATTTTAGGATTTTCGCTTCTCTACTTCCTCTGATCGGTCCTTTCAGGCGGGAGCAGTGTTGTGGTGAAACCACTTGTTGGGCTCCGAGGAAATCACACAAACGCCGAGAGAAGGTCACACAAGATCAAAATAATGCCACAAACACAAACAAATAAATTTTACGTGGTTCGGCAAGTTGCCTACGTCCACGGGGCAAGAAGGAGATGGGTTTTCACTAATAGAGAAGGGAGAGTACAAATAGAGATTATAAAATCACTCAAATCTCTCAAACAAACCTCTCAAATCTCTCAAACAAAAACCCTAACCAAAATGCTCAGAAAACTCTCTTTTCTGTGCACAAAACAAACCCCTTTTCTCCTCCCAAAAACCCTAAAATCATGTTAGTATTTATACCAAACACAAATCCCAAACAGAACAGGAAAACCAAAATTGGGCCTGACCTGACTGGTGGTCGACCGTCGAAATCGTCACGGTCGACCGACCAGAAAGACAGAAACTAAAAATCGATTACAGGGTTTGGCGGTTGACCGCGACAGTCGACCGACCAGAGTACAAAAACACACCCTGTACTCGTGCACGTTTCTGGTCGACCGTCGAAGTCACCGCGGTCAATCGTACGACCTCCAAAATATTCCCTTCATCAATTTGCCTAAACTTCGTCGACATCGTTTCCGTTTCTACAATTCTTCACCTCGGTGAAGTTTTTTCCAAAACTGAGCTGACACCAACCAAATCAAATGTCTCACTTATTACGCCCAGTACGAAGTGGAACAATCCACGACAACGGACTCAATCCACAACAAGTCAAAAACCCAAGTGAGAATACGAACAAACTCTAAAATGTCGGTATCAACTCACCAAACCGGATGCATCAAAATGACTACCTACGTATCCTTTTGCCCAAGGAATCGAGCCTCACGTAGATCACCAAATAGCCTCCAAAGGCCCTCAATTAACTAGAAGGATTCTTAATCCATCATGATCATCACCAACAAATCTGCAGCTGATAACTCTCCCACTGGCCTCAAAGTGAAACGAACAAAACACCTCCACCTGAGGTGAACCAACAGCCATAGCCAAATCCGAACTGTGTCCACCAGCTGCACTCGAATGAACAAACTCATCATCTTCATCCACATCAACATGATCCCCAATCTGTGTTACCTCAATTGGAATTCCAAACGATAGAGAATGATCTAAAGAACGTTGAGTAATATCCATCCAACGTGGAATAGCATCACTCTCCACCCGCTGCGATGCACCAATGATCTGTCCAACACTCTCCACCTGCTGAGAGTCAAAAATAACACTACTGCTCAGAACAAAATCAGAGTCTCATACTTGGTAACCAAACACGCCTATGAATCCCAAATGTGCACTCGGGCCAAATTTCACATCTTCGATATGATAATATGTTGGGCATTCAAATATCCGAAGCAACCCAAAATCTGAAGCAGCTCCACCAGATCCAAATACTCCAATCACGACAGACGACAACCTGTAAATAAGATGACTCCAATATGTCAAAGCCTCAGCACCAAAACTCCTCTGCAAACCACTGTTTGACATCAAACACCGGTCCTTCTCCAACAAAGAACAACCCATCAACTTTGCCATCTCATCTCGTTGCCCCAATGTTTCCTTTCCAATGAAGTGTCTCAAACTACCTTGAGCTAGGCACAAATGCAGAAAAGGATCCCTCTTGAACTTCCTACCAAACTTAGAACAAATTATTACCTTTCTGCCTATACACTTCTTCCACATGTTGTTGACTACTAGGACTTCACTCCAACGGAACTTGGTTGCAACCCACAAATACCTAGAATAGTCTCCAACATAGAAAACCAAATACCTATTACCTCCCAATGATGCCTCTTTGGAAGACCCCCAAATGTCTATGTGAACATCATCTAGAAGGCCCTTCGCTCGGAATAGAAGTGCCAAACTTTACCTCGGTCTTATTGCTCACACCAATATGTTCACAGGACTCCAAATTGCAGGTCAAAGCACCTCTATCCAATCCATGTACGGAATCAACACTCGAATATCCTAGCCTCAAACGCCACAGTCTAGCCAAATCAATAGAAGTCGTCAGCTCTCTACCTGTCACCGTGCTTCCAATCAAATAATACAAATTGTTCTTTCTGACGTCCTTCATTATAATCATGGACCCCATTGTGACCTTCAGTGATGCATCCTCTAAGATCATCCTATAGCCTACTGCCTCCAAAACTCTAAGTGAAATGATGTTCTTCGATAACTGCAGAACGAACCTCACTTCCTTCAACTCCCTAGTCACCACATCACACATTCTGACCCGAACTGTTCCAATACCACCAATAGGGCATTCATGATCATTACCCATGAGCACGACATCCCCTCTTTCCAACTCCTCAAAGCTGGAGAACCAATCCCTCCTAGGACAAATGTGATATGAAGTACCCGAATCCAACATTCACTCTATAGAGTCGGCATCACAAACTAACGGTAGTGCAGTGCACGAGTAGCCCGAAGAATCCGAATCTAAATTATCGCCACTAGCATTGGCAACATTCACCTCTGAAGCTTGTATAGCTTTCTCCTTATTCTTCCCGGCTCGATCTTTCAGCTTTGGGCTTTCAGACTTCCAATGTCCATCTTCTTTGCAAAAAGCACATTGATTCCTACCAACTCAAGGATGTGCTCCTCTAGACTGTGATCTCCTACTTTGGTTTGGACTCTTACCTCTTGTGACCAATGCCTCCGCTACTGTATCAATTGAAGACTCATTGTCTTTCTTCCAAAGCTGATAATTCATAAGAGCAGCAGTGACCTCACTATACGAAAGAGATACTTTTCCATTAAAGAGTAAGAACGAAGGTCTCATATTCCTTGTCAGGCAAGGAACTCAACAATAACAATGCCTTGTCCTCATCTTCGATCATAACATCCACATTCGCCAAATCCGCAAGAAGCTTCGTGTAGTTGTTCATGTGATCACTAATTGAGATTCCCTTCTTTAACTAGAAACGATAAAACCTCCTCTCCAAATGCAAGCGGTTCTCAACACTCTTTGTCAAATATTTGCTCTCTAGAATCTCCTAAATCTTCTTTGCAGAAGTCTCATTGATCACATCATACTTTAGATCTTGAGTTAAACAAGACCTAATCACACCACACGTTGTTCTATTCATCTTCTTCCAAACCTTCTCTTCAATGCTGTCCAGCTTGCCATCCAACTCCAAAGTATTCTCCAAATTTTACGCGTTGAGCGCATCCAAAACTTCACATATCCATAATCCAAAATTGTTAGTGCCATTAAACTTCTCCACGTCTATCTTCATAGAATGAATATTCAAACTTTGGACGGTCTTCACACCAGAAGCACCACCCTCAACTCCTTCTTTCTTAGCCATCTTCCTCAAAGCACCAACAAATCAATGCGAAACAAATTGAAAGAAAATAGATCCAAACTGCGAGAAATGTAGATTTTTACCTCCAACTGAAATCCTAACAAGAGCCTCCGAAAGATATCACCCCTACACAATGGAAGATAAGATTCACAATAGTAAAAATCTCACCTTTATCAGCAACTAAAACCCTAGACAAGCTTCCAAAGCGATCTACTCCTCCACCTAATCCTAAGCATAGCCGGGCTCTGATACCACTTGTTGTGGCAAAACCACTTGTTGGGCTCCGAGGAAATCACACAAACGCCGAGAGAAGGTCACACAAGATCAAAATAATGCCACAAACATAAACAAACGAATTTTACGTGGTTCGGCAAGTTGCCTACGTCGTCCACGGGGCAAGAAGGGGATGAGTTTTCACTAATAGAGAAGGGAAAGTACAAATAGAGATTACAAAATCACTCAAATCTCTCAAACAAATCTCTCAAATCTCTCAAACAAAAATCCTAACCAAATTACTCAGAAAACTCTCTTTTCTGTGCACAAAACAAACCCCTTTTCTCCTCCCAAAACCCTAAAATCATGTTAGTATTTATACCAAACACAAATCCTAAACAGAATAGGAAAACCAAAACTGGGCCTGACCCGACTGGCGGTCGACCGCCGAAATCGTCGCGGTCGACCGACCAGAAAAACAGAAACTAAAAATCGATTATAGGGTTTGACGGTCGACCGCTGCGGTCGACCGACCAGAGTGCAGAAACACACCATGTACCCATGCACGTTTCCGGTCGACCGCCGAAGTCACCGCGGTCGACCGTACGGCCTCCAAAATGTTCCCTTCGTCAATTTGCCTGAACTTCTTTGCCGTCGTTCCCGTTTTTAAAAGCAGCATCTTAAATCTAAAGAAAGGGTTTATCTCGTAGCAATGACACGATGTGATCGCTTCTAATGTGAAGAGAGGAGCGATCAAACCTGGCCGACTCCTGGCGAGAAGGCTTCTTCCTGTGGGAATGATGAAGCATATGGGTGATTATTCGCGAGTTTACGTTATGTATTTGACAAACAAACTACATCAGCGCATATATTCATTGCATCAATAACTTGCACGAGAAAAAGTACTCTCATAGTGTAATTCCTTGCTCAGAATTTTGTATGGTCACCAACATCATATATTGTAATTCCTTGCTCAGAATTTTGTATGGTCACCAACATCATAAGCCGACGACATTGATTTCAAATGCACCGAACAAAGCTTAATAAACATGATGAGTACTCATACAACACAGTGCCAAAAATTAAAACACTAATCATATAACATCTCCTTATTTTGACCTTCCCACAATTCAATCAAAGACTGAAGTTTGATGGATTTTGATGCTTTTTCCTCTGTTTTCACTTATTTTACTATGGCAACATGTCTGCGTTTCTCTAAGCAGAAACTGTTGTTGGCTGCTGTTTAGCTTCCAAAGTTTTTTCATACTCCTCAATGCACTTGAAGAGCTCAGAGAAGTTTCCTTTCCCAAATCCTCCACATCCACCTTTCTGATACTCTTTTCCTTGATCATCCTTCCTCATGCATCCAATTCTCTGTATAATCTCTAGAAATATCGTCGGCCTGTAGTCAAAAAAGCATCAAAGAACAAAAAAATACCGCAAGTGCAGCATGGCAGAGTTCAAATAAACTGGCTTTTTTTAAATCGAAATGGCCAATTATGGCTTATGATTTTGAACATCTTCTGTTGATGTATCATGCATAATCATAGAGCTCGCGTTTGAGACAACATAAAGTATGTTAAGAATTAAAAATTTATAGTCATATCCAAGAAAAACCAAGTTCGGTTGCGTTTATCGAGTTAGTTTCTCCAATTTTCTAGAGGGAAATGTGAATTATTTTTTTATATATATACAATAAGATGATCATTTCTGCTGATGTTTATCTCTTTGTTTAGTTTTATAAGTTTGTTTACCTATTTACCCCAATTGGTACATCACACTATCACAGAAGATAAACAAGAGTATTTAGTATCACAAAAGAAAAAAGATGCACACAAATGATATCCGAGATTCAAGCTATGAAAAGTTTGAGAACAATTGTAACTGTTAAGAAACTATGCAGAGAATCATCTTTTAACCCCTTCTTCCTAGAGCTCTTGACTAGTTGACTGTGCTATGTGATTCCAGTAGGCTTTAACATATAATATCAGATTCTACCTAAACCAAATCACTTCCGTAAAACATATAGTCAAGGGTTGTATCAGGTCAAGGATCCTGTCAACCGATTTAACACTACGGTTTTCCCACCTAATTTCTGCGCAAAGCACGCCTAGACACACAATATCAGAACAAGGTCATCTTAGTTATGAAGGTTCCAGTATAACAACCTTTGCAGATTTCGTGCAAAAAAATGCCTAACCAAACAAATGATCTGCACATAGAAACATAACCTTCTACATAAGTTCTATTATGAATGTTAAAGACAACATACAAAATTAATGCATATCTAGTTGTTTATGGGACTTGATTATCGTCATGGTCACCACTATGGTTCCCTTTTTCCATCAAATGGGGGTCAGCTTGATATATTGCTTATTGAAGATTGACCAAACTATACAAGGAGCCAAAAACCTTATTTCAACTGCCTATCTAGGTATCTAAATCTTGGGAAGATCTGTGCAAGAGCATCTTACAGCTGGATGTTTTGGTTGTTCTATACAAAGACACAGAGTCCAAAAATATGCCACTTTTTGTGTTTGTAATCCTCTACCTACTGTTTGGATTTGTAGGGGGTGAAGGGAAGTTAAGGGAAACTGAGAGAAGGGAAGGGAAGGGTAGGGAAGGGAGTTCCCTTCCCCTTGGTTACACCCCAATTTGGGGGTAACAAATTTTATACTATTAGGGGGTGAACCAAGGGGAACTATGGTGAATTAACTTCACCTCCTAAGTGTTCCCAAACAAGGTGAATGGAGGTGAATGGTTCCCCTAACTTCCCTTCACCCTCATTCCCCTCAATCCAAACAAGCCCTAAAGTTTTGTTGCAAACTTCAATACGTAGCATCAATCTCCATAATCAAGACAATCAATGCTATAAAGTAAAAACTAGGTTGCCTGTTTTTGCCAGTTGGCAAATTCTAAGGGCTCAAACATTTAGTAACTAATAATAATTTTTTCCACCATCTCATCTCATCTTAATCCACTACCCTCTTCATCTTGGAAATCCCTATTCTTTGTCTTTCAATTTCCTATAAATCATTCATTTTGTTCCCTCTTTCCACCAAAAAAAAAAAAACTCATTCTTATCCTCTCTTTACCCAAAAATCTAATATCCATGCAAGAACATTAATTCAATCCCGTGCATCGCACAGCTAACAACTAGTAGCAAATAAACTCTCTGCAGTGCTAATGACATAGACAATGGTGGAAGGTATATCTCAGTTTGAAGACTCCGGTAACAGCTCCTTACAATCTATTGACCAAGTATATGTGGGGTAAATTTGTTGTGATCTTGATCATAGTTAATAAAGGTGTCATTCCACAACTAATCCAATTATAAAGCAAATAAGTGCCGAAATAGTGAGAAACAAATATGTTCTAACCCTCACAATGCATACATGTCATAATTCATAATAGACGGACATTGAGGCAAGTTAAATGCAACTGAGAATCTAATATTTCTTACCGCTGTCGATTATAGTCATGTGTAAATATTCTTTCATTTTTTTTGTAATAGTAAATAAATTGTTTGGATTTTCGGGTCCTCTCAATTGTCCGGGTGTTATCATTAACTATCAAAAGTAGTAGAGGGACATAATGGTTTGCTGCAATTTGGCAATGTACAGAACTTCTTCAATCATAAATGTCGATATTTAGTGGAAGGTAGTTCGTCTGAGGAGAAATTTATACATTAGCATGAGAATATGAGAATCTTATTAGTAGATATATGGACTCTGAAAATACTAGTATATATGGCTATGATTGAAGAACTAGGCTCCTTAATCCTCCCCAAAGTTACAACGACGGCCATTCAAATCTCGATAGGATTGCCGTAGAAAGCATGGGGCTAAGTTTGGTTGTGAGATGAAAAGAATTAATCTTTAAAATTTGACTCGTGAGTCTGAAGATATTTCACCGTATATTCATCTTTACCATTTCCCCAGATCAAATCCACACTAGAATGATATTCCTAGCATGCAAATTCCACGATTTGTCTAGTTCTAACCCCGGAAAAAAAAAAATTTTGAACAAAACTGAAGTCCAATACCTGTCCCCGATTGGCTTAGTAAAAATCTGAACCAACACTCCCTGGTCATCCCTGTCCACAAGCAGCCCCAGCTCCTGGCACTCCCTGATCTGCTCCTCACTCAGCACATCCCCTGCCCTCCTCTTCACCCCCTCGTAGTAATTCGGCGGCGGCCCTTCCATGAACTCGAACCCCCCGAAGCCCGAAACCCCCTTCATCTTCCTCACGGTCGCGATCACGTCATCGCTCCTCAGCGCCAAGTGCTGCACGCCGGGCCCACCGTGGTGGTCCAGGTACGTCTGTATCTGACTCCTCCTCTTCGTCGGCCGTGGACCGGCTCGTTCAGCGGAAGCAGTACGGTCTCCTCGTTGTTTGCTAGGACCGACGGAATTCAATCCGCTATCGGCGGTCCCGCACGTCGCTCGCGGTGAACTCGGGCGAACTCGTGGAAGCCGAGGAACTTCTTCCATGTAGGACACGACGGGGGCGATGCTGTGACGTTGCCCGACGGCATGGTCGAGGCTCCCGGAGGCCGTAATCGATGTCCGAAATAGTCCGCACGTCCTCGAACCCGGGAAGGAAGTCGACGGACGCGTCTGATCCGGAGACGAAGCGGAGCACGACGTCGCGCCGTAGAGCGGACCGCTCGGCGAGGCGGAACCCTCGGCCGAGTCGGGTTGGGCGGAGGGCCGGGACGGCGCCGTTGGCGACGGAGGTCGAACGCGGACGCGGCGCAGCGTCGGCGACGGAGAGGGCGGACGGCCCGGACGGCGAGGCGCCGTGGCGGGAGACGAACTCCCCGGCGCGGCGGCGTCGAAGGAGGGATGGCGGCTCCGGAGGCGCGGCGCCGCGGGGTAAGGGGTGAAGAGGAAGGACAGGGGGAGCGGGGCCCACTTCGGCGGGGGCGGCGGCGGAGGAGGAAAGAACATGGGAGGAGTTCGAGGTGGAGAGCTCGGATTTAGATGCGAAGGGGAGGCCGAGGGAGAAGGAGAAGCGGAGGCGGCGGTGGTGCGTCGGCGGTCCAGAACTCGAACTGGTGGTAAGAGATGGACCGGAAGCCGGTTCGACCGGGGGTTCCGACCGACGAAACCGGTTTGAAACGCGAGGAGCTTGAACGCCTCGCGGCTCCTGGTCGCCTGGCTCCTTCCGGCTCACCCCATTTTGTTATTATACTGCGGAAACTTTGGTTTTGGTGCGGGGTTTCGGCTGCCTGAGGGCGGTGTTAATAGAGAGATGAGGCTGTAGGTGGAGGGGTTGGAGAGAGGACAAATGGAGTTGAGAATTACAGGCGAGAGCGGTCATGGTAGGATTTGGACAAAGCAAGGGTCAGTTGCTTGTTGATACTGGGACAGGGACGTGAGAAATCTGTGGATGAGCGTCAAGGGGAGAGGGAGAGTCCAACAAGATTCGTTCTTGTTTCGTTAGAAATTGTAAGAAATGTACAGATGTACATTGTGGAGGAGAAGAAATGGGTGCATACGATTTATTCATTTTGCGCCGAACAAGACGTGAACGATTGAGGTGGGGAGAATTTTTGTTGTTTTCTTCTTTGTTTTTTTCGGTTCATCTTTTTAGGTGTATATATAAAATTTGTTGTTAGGTGTTCTGCCCGTGACGTTTGTTTTAGATACTAGTCCCTCTAATTATCAATGATTCCGTATTAGTCTCTCAAATCTTTAAAATTGGTTATTATTCTGTAAAAATCTCAAACATGGTGGGGTTACTCCTAACCCAACACTTTCAATTACCAAACTACCTCTCAAGTTGGATAGATTATGTAGATTTTGGAAAAGATATGACAGCCAAGAAGCTCATAATCATTGGAGAATGATCTTAGTGGATTTAGTTCTTTACCTAGGTATCTAGCTTAAACCCGTTAAAATACTGGTTGGGGAGCTTAATTAGAGAGGGATATAAGGGAAATTCCCCTTGAACTGTTAGGGGCTGTTTGGATGGCTGAAAAACTCCCGTTTTGACCTCGGGAAGGAGCCAGAAAGCTGCCATTTTGGCAGCTTTCTGGCCGCTTCCCAAGGCCAAAACGGCCAAACAAACAGCCCCTTAGATTTGAGGAGAATATTTTCCGAGAATCTACGTGGGTTAACTAGAGTGACCAATTTGCAAGACCCCATAAAATCTAAGGGACTAACAAGCAATTAATTCAAAGATTTGGGGGACTAACATGGGATCATTGAAGATTTGGAGTAATATCTAAAATCCCCTTGTTTAAAATTCCGTTCTTAAGTAAAATAAGAGACTAAAATACGATTATTTCGCAAGAGTTTATACGACAACAGGAAATTGATTGTTAAAATGACTAAATTGGAAGTTTATTCTCTCAGAAACATTTTTGTTATTTATCATTAACACATAGCATGGTCTATAGTTCAGGGAGCTTTTGTGATGTGTACTGTTTTATTTTTATTTTTATTGTATTTGTGTAGTTTTCTTGTTGTACATTTTATTTCGTTACTTTCTCCTTCAATGAAATAGAATGAGAAATATGTTTCTGGCTCCAAAAATATACCTAATTTTTTTATAAGCCCATGAAAGTGTTCTAAACAAACATGCAACTAATATAAGTCAACTTGCTTCAAGACGTGTATCTGAGTTGGGTTTATCCGGAGAAGAAGGCATGACATCAAGAGGGACGAGACTGGATAAGGTTAAACATGTGCATCCTGTTTGAAGTTCACATGAGATATCTGCAATAAAAACTAAATCTGAAAATAAATAAATAAAAAACATAGAAAAAGGGAAATGATCCAAATCTCTTAAGAATTACAAACCTAACTCCGCAATTCTCTGTTGTATTTAATGATAACGAAAATAGCAAATACTTCTTCCAAAAAAACGTAAATGAATAGAAGGAAGAAGCATGATTGAACATAATTTGCATCTCATTATCAAATAATATTAACAATAATAATAAGTATGACTTGAAAATTAGCCTAGAATTATCTAGGGAGAAAAAAGCAATAACAGAAAGATTACATCTAATTTATTCGGATTAACTCAAACCTCTTTGAAATTATATGAATAAAATTAATCTAAAAACTTAAATTGTTACACCATGTTTTTATTCCTTCTAAATCTTTCTATGAAAACTCATGAAATCTCTAACATGAGATGGAGCATGATTATCGATATCTACAATATAATTTACTTCATCAAAATGATGGTCAGGATGTTGTCTGTGCAATATCACTTGTTTGAGTAATAACAAACTCTCATTTGGTACTAATATTGGTTTGAGATAGTTTAGTACAGGTAAATACAAGTATGAAACATATACAAAGAAAAACGACACGAAAATAAGCTCACAAGATAATTTTAGCACCAAGACCATCGATGATGGCCTTTGATCACCAATGTGCTCATCGACCATCGATGTTCTCTCGACATCATTGATACTCGAGAGCAACTATCAATTGTAAAGTTTGTTGTTTCATTTTTTGATGATTCAATTGCAACCATTCATTGTTCATATGATCTCTATCCTCTAACATGTTTTACATATCTCTTTCCTAACCTAATTGTGAAAGAAAAACTGAGGAGGGGGGCGGCGAGAGAGAGAGGAGTTCTAGGTTTTGAATTTAGAGATCAAGTAGTGATTTTATCACCCAGAGCTTCATCAAACTCTTATTCGCCACATAACATCATTGGATCCTTCCACAGTACGGTGGGTTTCCATTTATTTGATTTTATTCCCGTTCTTCATCAAACTTCATTTATATCTTTCAAAAGACGGTCTGTTCTATCAAAAGGGCTATAAGATCGTTACAATTTTGAACTTATTTGATTGATTTTATATTTCTTTAAACTTCTTTATGGCATACTCAAGCCAGTTGAATTGAGGGTTGGGACTAGTTAGGGCTAGAAGTTTTTCAGTATGAAGAGTTAGGTTAGACGATTAGCTCTGATTTTGATCTTGTAAGCTTACTGAATAGGGTTTGTTGTTCAAGTAAACTTTATTCATCATGAGAAAGCTCTTTCATGAGAAGGAAAACTAGACATAGGATTGTTTATTCAAACTATTATAAAACATCGTGTGTTTGTTGGCTGGTTGCGATATTTATATTGCTTGATATCATTTATCACTTTTATTTGCTATATTCCACTGCATATTCTGTGTTTAGGCAAAAATAGTAGCAATCCTATTCAAACACCTAAACCCCCCCCCCCCCCCCCCCCTCCTCTAGGTTTGCATCTTAGATCTAGCAAGTGGTATTAGAGCATTGTTACACATCTTTAGGATTCACAATCTAGAATAGAGATGTCTAGTTTGACCCCTACAACAACTTTCCTTGAGGGACATGCTGTCAATCGAACCCCTTTTCAATTGGTCAAACTATATCTATTGGACTTGTTGTTATCCACTGATGTTGATATTTTGTGTAGTGTCGAGACTGGCTGAACTTACTACTGTTGTAGGTGAAACCATCATAGTCAAATTTAGAGGTAAGTGGACCACCGATGAAAAAAAAATTGTATTCTTTAGATGCAAAAGCAATGGATACTCTTTACCGTTCTTTAACTGTTGAAGAGTTTAACCTTGTGTGTCTAATTGCTCTACTGTATAGAAAATTTGAAAAACTTTAGAAGTTACACATGAAGTGTAAAACCCCATAAATTTTGAGATATTATGGAAATAATATTAAATGAGTTTTTATCATGATAAATATCATTTATTGATGAATGAGCATGTTAGTAATCGATTTGAGATCGATTAAGTGCGTATATAAGAGTAAACGAGTGAAAAAATGCACACATATGCATAAAACTGTAAACAGTTTGTGTCCAGTCGGTCGACCGACCTAAGATGATTGGTCAACCGATGATGCCCAATCGGTCGACCGACAATTTGTGATCAATCAACCGACGGGCTAATTCCAGAATCCCAGTTTGAGTTGGATTTCGGGTCTTTTTGAATTGGTTCGGGTTTGTTGGTATGTATACGGATATATTATACGAAAAATTCTCTATTACATCATATTTCTAACCCTAGCAGCCACCCTCTCCCCTCAAAAACCCTAGAGCATATTTTGGTGAATTTTGAGAGCTTTGTGAAGCAAATACCGAGAAGAGGACGAGATCGTTGGCGTTTGGCGAGGGAGGACTTGTTTTCTTACACCCTTGGGTTTTCCAGCAGCGTTTTGAGGCGAGTTTCATCTCCTCCAATATCATCCCTATTTTTAATTGATTTTATTGAGTTTTGATTGGTTTTATTGAGCCTTAAAACCTAGTTTAAGTATAAAGATTGATCTTTTAAGATATATGATACAAAGATTTGATCTTTTTGCTTTAAAAAGACATAACACAGATTCTTAGTTGTGGATTTAAAGTTTTAAACGTGATCTAATATGAGTTTTGATTAAAGTAGGAGCTTCCATAAAAACCTTACACATATGCCACATATGAACATGTTAGGGTTTTCGTTAATTCCCCAAACTTATATTCGTGTTTTCATGTAGTAGAAACAACCCTAAATATGTTAATTCAAGTTTTATACATGAGTTTTATTATGAATTTTCAAATTTTGATGGATTTGTAAGATTATTCAAAAAAAATTACAGAATCTAGAAAAATTATGTCGATCGGTCGACCGATCAAAGATGATCAGTCGACCGATGTGCACTAATTAGTCGACTGAACGGAAGGGATCGGTCGTCCGATCTGGGTTATTTTGCACATGTTGTTTCTTTCTCTTATGTTTGTGATCGCGAACATGAAGTACAAGTCGTATGTTGATACACGTCCATTGTTTACAAGCATACACACATGGACATTAGGCACGCACGAACATTCAAAGGTGCGTAACATATATTTTGAGTTGTCATAGTTGATAGTAACATATATTGCATTTCATGATTGTGTGGATGCCTAAGTGGGGTAGTTGGTATTCTCGCAATGAGACCGCGGCTGGACTACACTCATAGTGCCTCAGTTTATACCCTGCAATGAGATCGCGGCTGGAAGACACTCTATGTTGCATCATTTCGGAATAGGGTAATATGCATATCTCTACAGAACGATTGAGTAAGGTGGTTATTACCACAGGATATTGTGAGCGTCTTACAAAAGTATCGTTAATTTAGATAAAGAATTACACTCATTGCATTCATGCTTCCATGTTAGTTACCCGAGGATAAAGTATGATACT